AAAAGATCTTCACCAGATCCACATCTGACACAGGGCTGATCTCCAAAATATACAAAGAACTCAAGAAGCTAGTCATCAAAACACCAAAAAATACAACTAAAAAGTGGGGGTACAGAACTAAATAGAGAATTCTCAATAGAGGAATCTAAAATGGCCAAAAACACATAAGAAAGTGCTCAAAACTCAGGAGATGAAAAGAGGAGAGCGAGAAAAGAGATACCTTGATAGAGGGAGCTTAAAAAGTAATCTGACACTAGGGAAATGTCCAGAAATCCACAAGGATAACCCCAAGAAAGAATCCAAGCAATAGTGGAGAGGCTACCTTAAATGCCCTTCCCCTATAATGATATTGATAACTACCTTAAATGTCATCCTAGAGCCTTCATCAACATTAGCTGATGGAAGCAGAAGCGGAGATCCACAGCTAAGCACTGAACTGAACTCCTGGAATCCAGTTGTAGAGAGGGAGGAGTAATGAGCAAAGCAATCAATACCATGCTGGGAAAAGTCACAGAAACAGCTGACCTGAGCAAGTGGGAGTTCATGGACTCCAATCAGACAGCTGGGGAACCAGCATAGGACTGAACCAGGGCCCCTGAACTTGGGTGACAGGAGGCATGGACAGTCTTTGGGACTTCTTGATGTGGAACCAGTATTTATTCCTAGTGTATGAATGGACTTTGAAAGCCTATTCCCCAAGGAGGGATACTCTTTCAGCATAAATACTCTGGGGAGCATAGGCCCTGCCCCAAATGATATTTCAGACTTTGAGGATCCCCCATGGAAGGCTTCACTCTCCCTGGGGAGTAAATGGGGAGTGGGTCAGGGTGGCATGGGAGGATAGGAGGAAGAGGGAACTGGGCTTGATAAGTAAAATAAGATTATTTCTAATTTAAATTTAGATATCATTAAAAAAGAATAACCCACTCATCAAGAAAAGATTCAACTCTCCACTGTGTTTAGTGTGGCTAAGGGAAAAAATGGTGCACAAGTCCTAATGCACAGATGCATAAGTTGACAAGGATATCTCAACAACTACCCAAGTCTCATCAACAGATTTTCATAGTCACCTGGACAACTGGCATGAAAGTGAGGCTTGTTTACAGAGAGTGCTGCGGTGCACAGTGGTAGTTATGTGATGCAGTGATGACTTGGCTACAGGGTGCTGAGGTGATGAGGGTCTGGATGGTGACTTAGCCCATGGCTGATAACCATGGAGGCAACATCACATGATAAGCCACCTTCACCAGAGTGGGATCACTCTAATTTATAGTGACTCTTTCAATTTCACTATTCTTCACTATTGGTAAGTAAGTCTGTTATCTCATTTGTGTTTCATTCCTCATGAGAAGGAACAGTTATTTGAAACTGGTAGGACATAAGCTCATTGTGTTATTTGAAACTGATAGGCTATCACTTATTCTGTTGTCACAATTTGTAGAGATACAGAAAGCTAGCACTAGACTCCTACCTTTGTCTCTGTAAGGGGACACCAAGAGAACCCTGAATTATGTGCTTCTTGTAGAGTGTTGATGTTTGGGACTTCTGGTCCTCAAGAAACCCAGTCATTCAAAGTCTTTATGTGCATGCCTGTGTCTAGAACAAAACCTTTTACACAGATTTCATTAAAGATAGTGATGTACTTAATTGCATACAAGCTCAGCAACATCTATCAGCATAAGACCAGATGGGGAGACAGGAGGGCATCACCAGCTCTTTTTCCATGGGAACAGGGAAACTTGACTTTGGTTTCTGGATCATGGGTGGAGGTAGGTAATGAACATTTGATTTGGAGTTGCATCACTGCGTTGGAGTTACCTTACCTGCAGCACAAGGTGATGGAATTTCAGAAAAAGTATAATTTTATAGCCCAAACACCTTGATTCTGTTACTTTACAATTTCTAAGAGAAGAACCAGGTAAATGCTAAAGAGATACCATTACAGGGTCAATCTCCTTTGATTCTTTTTAGAAGATTTAAGTCTCATGGCACCTGTTCCTCCTTGCCTTGACAAGGTATACTCCCCTTAAAAGCAACCTTTAATTTATGAAGCACAATAGTTGAAAATAGAGATGGTTGCAGCCCCAATAAGTGGCTCTATGGAGATATGAGCTGAAGATTTCCCTCCTAGGCTCCTGGTTTCACCTTCATCCCCCTGGTGCTGCGACCAACTGAAATGGGTAGTCTTCTCTGAAATCCTTGTTCCAGGTCTGAGTAAACTCATTCTCCAACTTAAACTCAACGAGTGCCAGGATCCTACGGAGAAATAGACCTTTCAAAGATCCTAACAGCAGATCCCTAATTCCAGTTCCTAATCCATTCCTATCAAATCATCTACCACCTAGGAAAAACCATAGCGTCCATCTTCCGTGTCAACCCAACGCAGCAAAAGCCTCACACTGCCTTCCACCCACTAACTCTTGTTCTGGCTGGTAGCACATGGGAATCGCTGTTTTAGAAAAAGAAAATGAACAGTGTGGGAGAAGTCAAGCTGATGAGTCAAAGCCCCTCCATCCCACAGCTGAAGTAAATTGTTATTGTCCAGTATCATCTGGGATTATAGTGACAGTCATGGCAGGAGCAATAATAAAGAACATTTTGAACATTCCATGTGCTACCATGAGTGCTATGGGGGTGTTTTCATTAAACCTTAAGAACTTCTCTAGGAGTCTTGTTAGCCCCTCAGCTTCCTCATTCCACTGATAATGAGAGAGGCTAACTGACCTTAACCATCACTTTGGAACTGCAAAAAAAAAAAAAAAAACACCTGTTCAAACCCAGATGTGTATATTTCTAGAGCCTGTGTACAATACGCTAACCCTCTTCTCAGAAATGGGAAACAATAACAGGGAAGGCTAGCCTTCACCCCTCCAGGAAGAGAGTACAAGAGAGTCCCAGGTATGAGAGCTGCTGAAGCAGACCATATCAAAGGCTACCCTGAAAGGAGGCTGATAACAGGGGATGTCATTTAGATTGTGTGTGTGTGTGTGTGTGTGTGTGTGTGTGTGTCTGTGTGTGTGTGTGTGTATCAGAGACAGAGTGTGTGTGAATATGTGAGTTTGTGTGTATGTGAGAGTTTGTGTGTATGTGAGAGACTGTATGTGAGCATGTGAGTGTGTGTGTGTATGTGTCTGTGTCTGTGTGTCTGTGTGTGTGTCAGAGACAGAGTGTGTGTGAATGTGTGAGTTTGTGTGTATGTGAGAGACTGTATGTGAACATGTGAGTGTGGGTGTATGAGTGTGGGTGTGTGTGTATTGTTTCATTTTCTTTTGTCTGTTGTGAGAAAGCTTCACACTTACTTGCACAAGCTGGTCTCAAACTCCTGGACTCAAATGATACTCACACTTCTGCCTCCCAGCCTCCCAAGTAGTAGATCATAACCACAATGCCCAGCTTAGGTGATGATTATTAAACCAGACTAACCCCTGAAACACATGTTAAGTTGGAGATGACCTCTCTCTAATACTTTCAGAGGCAAATTTAAAGAAGCCATGGCTTGGGAACTTCTCATAGTTAGGGAATACAGAAAGAGTAACAATAACAATAACAAAAATACAGAATCCTTTTCTTCCTTTTATCACCTGTAGACCTCATGGGGTAAGGGGCAGATGGTAAACATGGGGGAGCTAGTCTATTCTGAACGCTTGTTTACAAAGTTACATTCATGCCATCCACCAAACACCATCTGCTAGGCTATTTCTTCCATGAAATGACAATATTTTGTTCCATAGAAAATAAAGTCCAACCAGAGTTTTATCAGCATGCTGTGTCTGGGAGAGCACCAACTCTTTTCAAAACCAACTTTAATCCTTCTCCAAATCCAAGGCAAAGAAGGCTCCCCTAAGAACAGTAACCCAGTCAACACATTCATTCATTCATTTGCAAACTCACTTTGAAAGAAAGTTGGCCTGTGTGTGCTGGCTAAATGTGGAAAGTTAATTTTACAACATGAACTGTTTTCACCCTGGGCAAAGAGACAAGTATAGACACCATGTGACCTGAGTCTGATTTAGTAGGATCTTGGGACCTGGGAACATGAGAGTATTTCTTCAAGGAGGCCCACCCTTCTCTGACCCCCTCCTCCTCACCCACTAAAACTTCCGAAGAATGTCTTTCATGTGTGCACCATTCACTTAACAGCATGCTGTGTCCGAAGCCTGTCCTTGAATCCTCGGCTCATTACCCCTGAATCAAGGAAAGTCAAGTTCAATCTTTAAAGCTGGGAGAAAGTAGTCAGTAAGAACATTAGCATCAGCATCAGCATCTGCACCACCTACAAAAAAAAAAAAAAGAAAGAAAGAAAGAAAGAAAGAAAGAAAGAAAAAAAAGGAACCATTTCCTATCCTTTAGAAGTAGAAGAAACTGTAGTTTAGAAGGAAGAGCTTTAGATGAAAAATCTGGGGACCCCCGCAGTGTTCCTAGCTCTGACACCAACAAGAATATGTGGATTTGGATAAATTGTTTAGTCTCCCTAACTCCTTGTTTATAAAATAAGGAGATGGGACTACAATAAACTTCTCATAATAGGACCAGAGGCCAGAGCCTTATTCGTGAAAATTAAATTAAATCTCTAGAACACTGGTAGGGAGTGAGTGGAAAGGGGGAGGGGGGAGTGCGTGAAGAGGGGGTGTCCCAGAAACTAAACTTTAGTTCCTAGAGGAGGAGCAGCTTACATTTCACAGAAGCGAATTAGCTGATAAGATTTTCAGTGACTGGAATGTTGCAGGTCCAGAGCCAAAGTATAGTACGTACATACATACATACATACATACATATATATATACATACATACATACATTCCTTCATCACTGATAGTCATCCCTTGCCCACCTCTATGATTGTCCTAACATCCTTCTGACTGTCATGTGAAACTTCTTGAACTATATTAAACGAACAAACCACAGCCACCACCAAAAGCTGTCATCAGCTAGCATCTGAGGCCTATAGAAGAGGGTTCCCACACTACTGCGACCCACCTACCTAATGGAGCCACCAATGCATTTGAAAACATGTTGATATGTGACTTTATTGTTAGTATAAAAACGTCATGAAACTGCTACCACACTGGAGCATGGAATTTGGGGAACCTGAATCCTGTTCTAGGACCATGGTTACTCATATTTGGCTTCAAAATAAACTGGCTCTTATCGTCTTTGAGAGAGATCTTTCTTGCCTCATCAAAACCAGCTTTTGGTAGCTAGGAGCTGTTCATGAAAGGACAGGGGGAGTATTATTTTCTTCAGTGGTGTAACTACTGATAAGTTGACCTTGTTCCAGTAAATAAGCCCCTACCCATGCCAAGGCAAGAAACTGCAATCAAGCTCAGCAGGCCACATATAAAAAGAAGACATAAAGGTAGGAATGATACCTGATATGGAGAAGTATGTCAATGAGAAAGGGACCTTAAAAAAAAAAGAGGGAGGGGAATGACTAAAATTCATTATTTAAACATATGAAACTGCCAAGCAATAAAGCAGAAACTAAGTAAATAAAGAATGGGGCTGGGTCTCGGGGCACAAATATTGATATTTCAATATAGACCTCAGCTCAATTCCAGGAGCTCGGTACTCCTGGTTACCTGAGGCTGGCCTGGCCACAGTGGAGAATGACTTATAGTTTGCATAACAATAGATCTAGGCCCCACACCCATCATGAGGACATTCCTGGGGGCCTGTGAGGCACACCTGAGGACTGGTGAGACCTGTGTTTCCAGAGGTCTGAGGATTTGTGTATGTGCATTCTAGGACCGTCTCTAGGGTTAAAGGAAGTGTTTCCTAGTCAGCCCTATATACATGACAATAGATGTCTTCTGGCAGTACCCCTGCTTCTAGAAAGCTATTTAAGAGGATGCTTGAATAAACCGGTGTCTCCAGTATAGACTGAGAGCCCTCCTGAAAATGGCAAGATGTCTCTGTTTCTTAATGTCCCTTGGGTGGTTATGCCTTCCCTGATTCACACTCCCCCACTCAGGGTTGGACCCGGGGCTGTTCGGCTGGTTCCGAGCACAGCCCCAGTGACATAAGTCCAGAATAGATGGCCCCTATAGTGTAGGACTGATACAAGGCCGGACCCCAGCAGCTGGGAACAAATGAACCATAAGTTCTACAGATACATGAATGTCACCTGTTACCTCCAAGACTCCCTGGGGAGTCAGACTGGCCTTTCTGTGAGTAGGACCACATTGCCTAGCTCTGTAGCTCCTTCAATGGTGTGTGAATGGTTTAGGGAAGCCATACAGACCAGAACCCAATCCTTAGAATCACCCTGGCCCTGGAGGCTGTTTTCAGCTTCCTCTATGACATTAACCTGTTATTTAACTTCATTGCTGCTTTTCTGGTGCAACCGTAAGGGGAGGTTATTGGTGCCTATTGTCAGTATAGAAAACCCAGTTCTCTCTTCAAAGGGCAAAAGAGATAGTCTTTCCTGGAGTCACATGATATGAGTGACACGGTGATCAGCTTGTGGCAATCAATCGATCAGGTTTGTGTAACATTCAATGTAGTTACAGCTTCCTCTTGGGAACTTCAGGTCACGAAACTTGCAGTGGTATATCCACAGAGCATCACAAATGTAAGTCTTCTATTACTTTGCAATGCAGTTTACATCATGTTGGTAGTACGAAATGGGCTGGGCTTGAAGTTCTTACCACAGAAGTCACCAAATGCTCCATGCTCAGGCATTTCCCTAGCTGCTCATCTGCGAGGGTACTGATCATCACCAGTACACCATCGCCTGTCTCCTAGCTTTGGCCTGAGGATTTAGTGAAATCGGTGCACAAAGTGTTTTTAGCATAATGTAGGGGGCACAAGGGGTAATAGATGCAGTTGCTATTATGAATGACCATGGATGTCCCTTCCTTTCCTAGTTTCTCATTCACTGCCCAGTCTTCTCTTCACCCAGATTTTATGCTTCATGATTGAGACCCCAAAAGTCAGTGGATAAAGATCTTCCCAACACTTCCCTCTTGTCTGGGACTTCTCATTCTCAGTCATCCCCTATGGGCACTAGGCACTGAGGATACAAGCATGATGGTATAAAATCCATTGCTGAGCAGGATACATCTAAGCCTGTAAGGGTCACTTTTACCAACAATGCAGAAATCACATTAGCAGGCAAAGCATTGGCAACACAGCCAGTCCTGCCATCTGCTACCCCAGGGGCTTTTAGCAAGTAGCCTTCAAGGGAAGCTCAGCTGCAAAGTGCAACCACCTTCTCTGGGATGACAATCATTAGGCACACAGGGTGTTTATTACCTTGCCTCTTCTCCCTACCCTGATGGCTCTACCTTAAGGCTGGTAGCATACTTCCCCACTGGCAAGGAAGGTTGGATGTTTGCTGCCTCGAAACCAGAAATGTGTAGCATCAAGTCTGGACCCTCGCCAAATTTCTACAGGGCATTAGTAACAAACTGGTGAAGCTCATTAAAAAAGAGAGAGAGAAACCTATAACCATTAAAAGCCCATTAAGCAGCCTGTCATTTTGTAGAGCTAAATAGCCCACAGTAATCAAAAGCATATGAACCCCAGCTGGGATACCCAGTGAATTGTTTCGATTTAGGGGAGAATTCATCAAGAAAGATTGTTCTTGGGATTGGGTTGATTTTTCTCCTTCGGTTCCTGGCCCCATGTTCCATTATAATTAAAGTGATTGATGCACCTCCCAGACAGAGGTGAGCAGTGACCACCAGAGCCAAAACATCTGCCCTTCCAAGCAAACAGCTAATACAGAACTTCAGCGAAAAGGCATGTAACTTGAGGTTCCCCCCTCCACCGTCAATTAAGTATGGCACCGTCAACTCTCTGCTACCCGGCTGGTTTAGATCTGAGTTATCTGTGGAATTTCTTTTTCCAACCTAGAGAAACTTTTATCCACATATGTATGGGTCATGTTCCAGAAACAAAGACTCAAGTGCAGGAGGTGATTCCCTGAAACGGGAGAGAGACGATTCAGCCATCAATTACCAAACGCCTTATTGCACAGGGATTGACACTTGCTGACTTTAGCACAGCAGATTCGATATTTCAGATGTACCACTCTCTTCCTCCTCCTGTGCCACTTTCCCGGCCCTGAAAGGAGGAGGCCCTGCCAGCCAGTCCATTGTTCACTATCGCCTCCATCAGTGAGTGTGCATGTCAAGCTCAAACAGAAACTGTATGATATCCATCCGTATCAGCAGCTCTGTCTACAAGAACAGAAAGAAAGGAGGGAGGGTTAACTATCGAATGCAGATGCAAAAGGTATCTCTAGGAATTGCTTCTACATGCTTATGCAGTCCACCATGATACCAGATAAAAGAGCAAAATGTTACTATGAAATAAAAGTTAAGATGTTCAAGTCAACATAAAGTCTATTGAAAACTATCACGCAGACCCTTTCGATATTTTATCATTGCAAAAAACAAACAAACAAAAACCTCTCCTTAAAAAACCTAAGAGTTTGATTTAAGAACAAAACAAAAAAATGTCATCAACATTCCCCCACCGTCTTCCACATTCCTTTAGTGGGTTTGGTGTACTGTTTATTAATACTATTTCTTTAAGGCTCTTAAACTATTAAAATTCTTCTGGTGTGCACCTCCATTGCTTACTGGAAGTCACCAGCAGGACTTTCTTTTTCTTTGTGTCACCTTAGAATCCTTGCAACTCTGAGCCCCTGCCCCCGGCCCCCTCACTATTGATGGTATAATTCCTCGGTGTTTCCATGCTCAGCATTCCAATCTCTCAGAAACTGCCTGCGCTAAATTCACCAAGCAGTTAACGAGCTCACATGCTGTCCACACAAACTCATTTGCCTTGGAAATGAAAGCAAATTGATGTCCACTTGAACTGAATTTGCTTAAGCACACATTGCAAATGACACATATGGATGGTCTTAATAAATGGAACTGCTCCCTCTTCTCAGATCCCATCTCCGATTCTCCCATCCCACCAGATCTGACTATCCCTTCCACTGCCACAGGAAGCCCTTGTAGAGTATCAGGCCCAGCCTAGGGATTTGCCCCTCTATATCTTTAAATTCTTTTTGTTTCTTTTGGAATTCTTAAGTTCTTTTTTTATTTTTTATTTTTTGGTTTTTTGAGACAGAGTGTCTCTGTATTGCTTTGAAGTCTGTCCTAGAACTCAATCTGTAAACCAGGCTGGCCTTGAACCCACAGATATCTGTCTGTCTCTGCCTCCCAGGGGCTGGGATTAAAGGCATGTACCACCAACACCCAGCTTAATTAACTTTAAACTATCTTGAGCTTTAGATCAGTTAAAGCAATTATTTAACTCCGTGGGCACATAAAAAGGATCTTCTCCTACCAGGAAAACTCTTGGAAGGGAAGGCATTGTAGTGCTTCTTTCTAATAGCACAAGAGCAGAAAGAATGGCATGAAAATGTGACCTCAGGCTTCACTGAGCAGGGAAAGGCCAAGCCCAACAGTGCGAGAATAAACTTTGTAAGGTTGTCTCCTGGATAGGATCTCAGCACAGATCGTTGCGAGAATGCTGTCCACATTATTCCATACCAGGGAACACCTTGAGCTAGGCAACCTAGGGAGATGTAGCCTGTTCCTGGACAAGGGGATCCCTGACCCATATGCTCCTTCATCTTTGAATGTCCAATAGTGAAGGAAAAATAAACATATAAAAGGCCATAAATCGTCTTGCAAAAATAAGGTCCCCCTTTTAATGGCCAATGGCTAATGTTTTAAGTTGAATTCCAGACACTTACAAAAACTTGTTAGGCTCCTTTTACCAACTTTGCTGCCTTGACCTTTGGCCCCTGCAGAGTTAAAGAAGCTGCTCCATTGACGAAGTTCAGGGATGCTTGTGGCTAGACGTTTTTTCGTGACTGTGACAAACACAAAAGATAAACAGTTTAAAGTAGGAAGATTTGACCTGGGCTCACAATTCTGAAATATTTCAGTCTATGGCCAGATGGCCCCCTGTTTCTTGGCCAGGGAATAACCGAAATGTCACAGAGGAAGGGTACTGCAGAAGAAAACTATTAACTTATAGCAGCCGTTAAGCAAAGAGAGGCAGACATGAAGGGTAAGAGACAAGACACTCTTCAAGGAAATGTCGCTAATTGCCTACTTCCTTCAGCAATGTCCCACCTGTTTCTTTCTGCTATCTCTCAGTAAGTGGGTGAGTCTTCATGAACCAATTACTTCCCAAGAGCATGCTCTTTGAACACCTTAGAAATCCAGCCATCAGCATCTGAATTCTTTTGAGGGAGTGTCCAAAGGGAACTCTCAAAACCAGACTCACAGTCTTGTATTTGTGATACTAGCATGAAAACGAATACATGCTTCCAAATCGTTCTGGTGTTCCATGAGCCTCTTGCACCTTGATTCTCTAGTTTGAAATTTTTCTTCAGCAATTTTATTGAAAATATTCTTCGTGCCTTTGCTATATTCTTCTCCTTTTATGACCATAATTCAGAGATTGAATCTTTCTGTGATGTCCCAGAACTCTCCCACATCCTGTTCATTCTTTTAAAATTTACCATTGACCTTTGTTGAATGGCCCAGTTCCTCTAGCTTGTCTTACATCCATGATTCTTTACTTTATACAGGATCCACTTTTAGTGCACCCTTTTGTTGAGTTTTTATTTGGCTAAGTTCATTTCAAGCAACATTTCAGTTCCTTTTTTTTTTTTCATCAACCCTGTTACATCCTTGAGTTTTATTTTCATGTCTTGGATTGACTTCCTAACTTCATTTATTGTTGTTGTTGTTCCCTTGGGGTTTATCCATGTTTTCTTTGAGTTGTTTACATATACCTACAGTCACTCTTCTGAATTCTTTGTCTGGAACTTCTTCCATTTTTATTGAATGCCATTATTATGGGACTAGTATTTTATTCAGGAAACATGTTGTCTTGGTTTTTGGTGGTGTTTCTGTTTCTGCACTGGGACAGGTATATCTAAGATAGTTCACTGATTGCATTCATTCTAACTCTAATTCTCTCTCTGTCTCTGCCTCTCTCTCTCTCTCTCTCACTCTCTCTCTCTCTCTCTCTCTCTCTCCCTCTTTTGTTTCTTTCTCTTCAAGTTCCCATTCTTATCAGTTGAGATATCTACTGTTCTGGGGAGATCTAAGGTTTGAGATACCTGTCTTTCTCTTGGGGCTGGTGTAGAGAGTTCAGGATTATAGTAGACTAATCTAAAAAGTAGTCAGGGGTCCCCTACTTTCTGCAGGAGGCAATGTAGATTGAGGTCATGGTGAGCACTCAAACCATTTGGAAAAAGTTTGGAACAAAATACCCAGATCTTTCTCTCCAAATCTTTTTCTCCCAAACCCACAGTAATCTATACCAAAGGATGTTATGCACATATTTCTTTCTGCTGATCTGCCATGTCTTATGACAAATAATGCAAAGAACTTTGCTTTGTTCTGTCACTGACACCAAGACCTTACTTGTCCAAATACCTCCCTCTTGTGTGTCTTCTTTCACTCTTCACATGCCCTCCCTCCTTGGGACAATGAAGAAAGTACTATAACAAATTCGTGAAAAGACTTCCTGATTTTGATTTTCAGCTCTCAAGTTGCATGACTTTAGTTCTCTGGGCTTTTTGTGATCTGAAACAAGAAAGTTATATCAGCCTTCCAGTCCTGGTTATTGCTGTTACTTTGTTACCCAGATTGATTTTGTTCTGACCTATGTCTGTTCAAAGGCATACCATGCCTCCTTTGTTACCCTTGTCGCCTATTGGTATCCTGGAGTCTTTTCCTGCCATCTCCTGCATGGCTACTTTACCACTTCAGTAAGTCTCTTCCTCTCGTTTATTTCATCCTTTGGCTATCTGCATATTCAGATTTTTTCCCAGTCCTAAAATCAAAAAGCAATTTTATTTAACTGTATAACTGTCATTGTAAACCTTCACCACCGAGCTTCTCCACTGGGTATGTTATGCCATCTTGGATCAGTTTCTTATCATCAACTCATTGTCAACTCTTTGCAACCTGCTCCCCCCATGCTCTCAAGATTTACTAATGGCTACTTTATCATCAAGATTCTTTTGCACATATCAGAAGATTTGGAGAAGACATATCTATGAAGACAGTGCTGCTGGGCTGGAGAAAGCTTGACCGTGTAGGGAAAAAGCCAAGAAAATTTTTCCAGGGAACTCTAAAATTAAATTGTCAGCAATATCCTGATCTATGGGGGAAAAACCTGGGTTTTTATCCTTTCTAACTAGCCATCGCAACTGTGTTTTATTCCTTTTGAACTTACTGGTAAAGTTGCTCCAAGGTCACAGATGTGGGCATCTGGAGACAAAATTATATCCAGGTTAGGGGTGGAACACTTAGCACATTAAAGGAGATCCACATGAAACCAATGGCTAAACAGCAATATGCATTACCTCCACAACATGCAACTCAACCCTCTTCAGTCTTCTGCAGTGTCAACTAAGATGCCTTTGAAGCCTGTGGCCTGGTGGAGCAAAAGAAAACCGTATCTTTCATGAAACATGTTCTTCTGCTTGCTGCTTTCGTCTTTGCCAAAGGTCCCCTTCATGGCCTCTCTTCTTTGTTTTTGTCTCTGAACAACTTGCCTGTCTTTACAGGTTCAATTACTGTATCCAGAATGACTCAATTTCAATATGCAACTAGGATAGAGCTTCTGTTAGATGTCAGCCCGGCACTTCAAAATCAATATGCCAAAAATATTATATTCATTTTTCCATGACTTCTTCCTTCATTTTGACTTCCTGTGTTATAATTCAATAGTCTTTGATTTGTTTGCATGTCACAAAGAACAAAATTCCTTCTCATTTCCTTAGTCACTACCTTAGTTCAGAACTTTGCTGATTACTTTTTTTAAGACATGTAGCCCATCCAGGCGTTGGTGGCTCATGCCTTTAATCCCAGCACTCGGGAGGCAGAGGCAGGCGGATCTCTGTGAGTTCGAGGCCAACCTGGTCTACAGAGGGAGTTCCAGGACAGCCTCCAAAGCAATACAGAGAAACCCTGTCTCAAAAAACCAAAAAAAAAAGGACATGTAGCCCCGGCTGAGTTTGAACTCACTATGTAGCTGAAACTGGCATTGAACCTCTGATCTTCCTGCCTCAATTTCCCACATGCTAAAATTAGAGCTGTGTGCTGCAACAACAGTTTATACGGCACTAGGGATTGAATCCAGGGATTCATGCCTGCTAGGTAAACACTCTGCCAGCTGAGCTACATTCCCAGATCCCTATATTGACTCTTGGATAGATGTTCACAGTAACTCTGTTCTGATCATCCAGTCTTTTTTTTTTTTGTTTTTTTTGTTTTTTTGGTTTTTTTTTTTTTTTTGGTTTTTACGAGACAGGGTTTCTCTGTATTGTTTCAGAGGCTATCGGTCCAGCCCGGCCTAAAACTCATAGAGATCCGCCTGCCTCTGCCTCCCGAGTGCTGGGATTAAAGGCGTGTGCCACCACTGCCCGGCCATCCAGTCTTTCCTACTTCAGCTCTTCCTAGACCTTCACCATCAAACAATAAAAATAAAACAAAATAATAATGCAAAACTGCATTACATCCCACCATTGCCTCTCCTCACCATTCTTTGGCTTCATTCTTCCCTCAAACACTAAACTGTCCTATGTGCTTGTAGAGAACAATGAAATGGACCGAGAATGGGAGAATGACAAGGCACATGGAGGCAAGACTGACTTCCATGCCGGCTTTTCACAACCAGTGGAATAGACACGTACAAGACAGAAATGCCTGGATCACCAAATCATCATGTGAAGGATGATGAGCTGCCACCCTGGAGAGCAGACTCACTCACATCAAACTTCACATGTGTTATAACCAGCCATGGCATCAAAATCCTCTGTAAGTAGCTTGCTGTTATTTTTTTTTAGGCTCCACTGCTCTCTAGCCTGATTTGTCTTGATAATGTAATATTCTTTTTTACATTTACCCTCAAGATAAAGTATATATTACTCAGTTTATTCTTCAAAAATTCTTCAGAATATTTTCCTAGGTTTTTTTTTCTTCTTTGTGTTCCTAAAAATAACTGTGTCATACCACACCATTCTCTGTTGGTCCATCATGATTCTTCACATTAGTTCAGTCACATGTGACACTTTCAAGCCTCCACACTCCATGCACATATACAGTTTCACCCCAAACCACATTCAACTTGACCAATATCTACCCTGCCTTCAAGGTCCACAGCAAGGTTGGCAAACTATGTCCCATATGTAGGATCTGCTCTAACACCTGTTTTTGTAAATAAAACTCTTTGTAGGCACACATCACTACAACCACTAGGTTGAGGATTTGTGACTGAGACCTTCTGGTTTCCAAAAGGTAAAATCTTACCATCTGGCCCTCTCTGTAAAAAGATGGCTACTGTCTAGAGTGTCATGTTTCCTCCACAGTCATGACAGATTGTCTGACACTGTGACAACATTTAACATACACAGTAGTGTTTTCTTTTTTTTTTTTTTTTTTTTTGGTTTTACGAGACAGGGTTTCTCTGTATTGTTTTGAAGGCTGTCAGACCAGCTCGGCCTCGAACTCACAGAGATCCACCTTCCTCTGCTTCCCGAGTGCTGGGATTAAAGGCATGCACCACCACTGCCCGGTCACAGTAGTGTTTTCACTCACAGTTTTGGAGGTTTTAACCCATGGAATTTTGGTGGGTTTTTTTTATAGTTTATTTTTGTTTTGTGTGTATCGGTGTTTTGCTTGTGTGTGTGTGTGTGTGTGTGTGTGTGTGTGTATGTTTTACTTGTATGTATGTGTGTGTATCGTGTGCTTGCAGTGTCTATGGAGTCAAAAAGAGAGTAAAAGATTTCCCTGGAACTGGAGTTATCATGTGGGTGCTGGGGACTGAACCTGAGTCCACTGCAAGATCAGCAGTGCTATTAACTGCTGAACCATCTCCCCGTTCCTCTGGACCACAGTTCTTAACTCCTTTGATTCTAGGCTCATGGTGACACAGATCATCAAGGAATGGGAGCATGCAGCATTACTTACCTCATGACAAGATGGAAGCAGAGAAGGAAAGGGACTCAGCAGCATGTATGACCTTCAGAGTCATCCCCCTAAATGACTTACTTCTTCAGGCAAGGCCCCACCTGCTACAATTCTACTACTCCCTAGGTAGTATACCCTCTG